AAAAAAAGAAAGTAAAAAAAAAAAAGAATCAAAACGAGGAGTCTTAGTTGGGTGTCCGTGGCTCAAGTTTGTAATCCTAGCTGCTCAGGAGGCTGATATCAGTTCAAGACTAGCTGGTGCAGAACAATCTGTGAGAGTCCATCTCCAAAATAACCAGCAAAAAGCTGGACTGGAGTGGCTCAAGTGGTAGACCACGCTGAAGAAGCAAGCCAAGCCAACATGTGGCCTTGAATTCAAATACCGGTTACAGAAATAAAACAAAGCACTGCTTTTTCTTCTCTCATATCAAAGAGCATATTACTTTGCTTAAGTTGCTACAACAAAGTAACACAGACTGGGATCTTGGACTTAAACAGAGATTAATTTTCTCACAATTCTCATGGTTGTAAGGAGACTTTTTTGTTTCCTCCTGAGACTTCTCCTGACTTACAGATGGCTGTTTTCCTGCTGCTTTCTCCCTTAGCCTTTTATCTGTGCACATGAATCCCTGTTGTCTTCTTGTATGTACAAATGTCCTGTCTTTCTAAGGGCACTCATCATATTAGATTAAGGCCACCCCAACAGATCCTATCTCCAAATACATTCTGGGGTATAGGAGGCTAGGCCTTCAAATGTTGAAGCATTTGGAGGCTGTTAGACACATAATGTATAAAATTACATACTTTATATATTAAATTATAAATTTTACACATAGTTTATACATAAAATTATCTATTTTGTATATTATATATCCTAACGTTGTATAGCTAAGATCTATTTATATATTTTATACATAAAATATATACTACACAACATAGTACCTAATATATAACATACTCACGCCCAAAGAGACCCAGTTCAGATTATAACTGAGTGTCCCATGGATATTTCGCTAGGATTTTTCTTTAAGGTCTTATGGGATACAGCAACAGATTGACCTTCGTCATGAACTTTCTTTCCTGATTTTCATGCCCTCTCTGTTTGGAACTGTACTCACTGATAATGTCTTTGCACATCTTAGTCTCAGGCCATCTTTCTCAAGATTTGTGACTGACATGTTTAACGGAAGTTGTGAATGAGCTCCTACTTTGGGGACAACCACAGATGGGGTTTTGGCCATCCCTGGGCTGAACTAGCCCCTCAGTATGTGTCCTGGCCATACCAGATGCTTTCATGACCCAGGCTCCTCATCTTTAAGTAACGGGGCTAGGTTTCCTCCTCCCCTGAAATTACATCAGACATCCTTTCTGTGAGTGACCTTTTTAATTCTTTTGTAGCTGAATGCTTATTTCCATAAAATTATAAATAAGCAAATATTCTGGATAAATTGGGCAAGAAAAATCCCAGATTTGCCCAAAAAGGAAAACAAAATTACATGATACTTCAAAAAGTTTCTAAATTAATGCTCAAGTATTATATATAATTATATGTGAGAAAGTTAACATATATACAACTTGTCTGTCCAAGATTTTAATTTTCCTGGCCACAACATGTATGGCAGTTAAGGCAAAAGACAGAAGTAGATTAATTCACATAAACTTGATATGTATATCACGTATACATACACAATGCAAACCTCATTCTTTTGTCTTATAACTATGTGGAAGCAGCTAGGTGTGGATGCAAATACATTTTTCATGCATTTCTCTTGGCATTATCGTCATATTTAATGTAACATCCAGCAAAGCAGAAATTTTAATTACATTTATGGCTTAACCATCTGTATTTGTTTGGAATTTCTGACTCTTCAAAGCAAAATTATGAACCTGGCTTTAGGTCTGGAAATGTCTCAGACTACAGCCAAATGCATTATCAACAAACTGTGTGACTGTGGTCCAAATATAAAATAAGATGAGAAGAAGCTGAAATTCATTGTCAAAATACCAAAGTACCTGGATTTTTTATATAGTCACAGATTTATACTGATACACTTCAAGGAAGCTAACAGGGAGATTTCACATATTTTCAAGGGAAGAAAATGCCTCAGCATCAATAGACTGCCAAATCATTATATGTGTGTGCATGTATATGTGTGTGTATGAATAAAATATGTGTGTATTTTGAGGTTTTGGACTTTTTTATTATCATGGAGTATTTGCATAAACATAATGAGATGGTTTGAGATTGAGCCCAAGTCCAAACAGAATGTTCTTTTCTATTTGATATATACATATTTATGTGTGTGTGTGTATATATATATGTGTGTGTGTGTATATATCTAATGTATACAGCCTGAAGGTGATCCTATACTGTTCTTAGTGTATTTATACTTTGATTGTGACCCATCACATGAGGTCAAGTATGGAATTTTCCACTGTAGAATCATGTCGGTCCTCAAAACACTTTCCCACCAGGTGCCACCAGTGGCTCATACTTGCAATCCTAGCTACTCAGTAGGCTGATATCTGATGTCTCAAAGTCAGGGCAAGAAAGTCCTTGAGACTCTTATCTCCAATTAACCACCAGAAAACTGGAGGTGGAGCTGTGGCTCAAAGTGGAAGAACTCTAGCCCTGAGCAAAAAAAGCTCAGGGTCAGCTCCCAGGTCCTGAGTTCAAGCCCTACAATCAACAACAATAAATAAATAAATAAATAAATCTTTCTTTCAGATTTGGGGACATTTCCAATTTAGAATTCTCACACTGTGATGTTCAATTTGTCGAGGAAGACAACAGTAAGCCATTCTCAATTTGTGTCAGCTCCCAAAAGTGAAACATTCTTCTATCCTACCTGAGGCTATCTAGATATTCAGATGAGCAAGATTTAGATGACAAGGAAGGAATCCAAAAAGATGACATTGCAACTAAAAAAAGAGGAGTCCTCAGGGACTCAAGTTTGGGGCCTGAGCTCAAGAGCTCCCCAGTAGGGCCATGAGTGGGCACAAAGCCTGGCCCACACTTCCCTCAGCATGGCCTCTGCTAGGGCTCTGCTCTCCACTTTCAGTGCCAGGAAATGGGCTTGTTGAGCCACATCCTTCAACTCTAAGTTCAGAGGAAATCTTCTGCATGTTTAATGACTACTTAAAACAGTAACGAATAGTGCTGTCTTCCAGCACTTGCTATTAATAGTGACAGCCATCTTGCCCACACAAAAGCAGAATGACATAATGCAACATAATGACCCTTTCTTCTGTCATGAAATATGAATGATACTTTGCTACACCTTTAAGTTATACTGAGAGTCCTGAGTCATTGAGGCTTAACTGGGAAAGATTACACACACACTAAGTAACACATCTATCTGTCACTCAGCTTGTGCGCATGTTCTTGTGTTAACCAAACTTTAACCCAGCTTGTGTGCAATTATGAAAGAAGAAAGGGACATGAAAGAGAAAGAAAATTATGGGGAAAAACTCTCTGGAGGATAAATTTCAACTGATATTTTTCTTATACCATATATGTAGCAGATATTTTAAGCATACTTTAAGAAACCAGCTTAGGCAATTTTATGTATATCATATAATTGCAATGATGTAAAAATGAATACATAGCCCAATCTGTATTTAGCTATTTAGAAATCATAAGGTCAGGGGCTGGGAAGGTGGCTCAGTGGTAGAGCGCTTGCCTTGCATGCATGAGGCCCTGGGTTCGATTCCTCAGCACCACAGAAGCAAAAAGAAAAAAGCCGGAAGTGGCGCTGTGGCTCAAGTGGTAGAGCACTAGCCTTAAGCTGAGAGCTGAGGGACAGTGCCCAGGCCCAGAGTTCAGGCCCCATGACCGGACCCAAAAAGAAAGAAAGAAAAGAAATCATAAGGTCAGCAAAAATCAAAACTCTATCTAAAATGTAAATTAAAAGCAAAAAAAGTGGTGGATATTTAGCTTAGATGGTAAAGTGCCAGCCCAATATGGCCCTGAATACCACTTTCCCCACCTCCCTCAAAAATGAATTCCTTATAAAGAGGAAAATATATCACACTTGTATTTGTGAGACTATCAATATATTATTCCTTTCTCTTTTACTTTTATTTTCTAAGTTTTTCAATAGGCATATGTATTGCATCAGTAATGTAATACAGATGCAATAAATTTTTCTTAAATTAAAATAAGATGTTGAGAGATGTGAGCTTGCTTAAAGAGGGCAAAAAGATAGGTATGTGGATGCCAAAAAAGTAATTGCTAATTATAAACATTTCTCATTTTCATCAAAATTAATCAGGCAGTTTCTACTTATTCTTCCAGTAGAAGTCCATGTTTGTAGCTGCAAAGACCTGAATTTCTTTTGTAAGACTTTAAAGTTCAAACTGCACATATAACTTCTCTAAGGAAAAACACACACACACAAAAATAATTTCTCTGGGGTATTAATAAAAGTGCATACTGAGCAAGCCTAAATTAAAAAGGTTTTTCTTATAGGGGAAAGGTAACAGACTATCAGTTGTGATTTCAAGATGGATTAAAAACACAGGTCCTTCTAGAGTCAAATATATCCCACCAGGTGCTAAGAAGGAGTACAGACCTCCCTTCACGCACCTGCCCCCCTTCATTTCCTGGCTCAGGACTGAACTCAGGGACTCTTGCTTGTGAGGGAAATATTCTACCACTTTAGCCACACAATCTCTACTTTTTGCTTTTAGTTTGTTTTTCAGATATAGAGTTTTGCTCAGGCTAGCCTTGAGTCAAGATTCTCCTTCCTCCTCCCAAACAGCTGTGATCACAGGTGTGTACCATCATGCCCAACTTAAGTTCAGACCTTCTGTGAACGGCCCAGATTCCACTACACAATGAAGATTGGCTTTTATTTTGCCAATCAAATTTGCTGTTCATTGTCTTAGATCCTTCTACTCTGAAAGGAGTTTTGCTTTTCTTTAACATTAACAAATGGTCTATTAAAGAGGTTTTCCCAAACAGGGGTCTATGAAAATGAAAATCAAAGCATATTCCCTCTCAAAGTTTACCAACAGCTGCTGGGTCTCAGAATGACCTAGAGAGCTTTTGAAAAACACAGTCCTGAGGATCTGCCAGAGATCTGAATCAGAATTACTTAGGATTGTAGCCTCCACTTTACATCTCAAAATAAGCTTCCTGTGCCAGTTTGGCTGTATGTAGGCTAAGACTGGAATGCTTCACAGATTAGTAAGGCCTCTGAGCAAGGATGACACTCAAATTCAGGAAGTTTACCATATTTTCTGTGCTTTCCCTGAATTGTGTTGCTTTTCTTTCTTTTCCAACTTAATAAAGTCGAGAAAATTCATAAATAAATGAGTCAATAATACAAAGCACACTTCCTAGGGAAACTATGTATGGTTTAGAACATGTTTGCAGTTCATAAATGATGAATGGGTGCACATAGAAAGAGAGAGGAGTTTCTTGAATGATTCTAACATAAAGAACTCAAGATTTAAGCTGGGCTCACAAGTATAATCCTAGCTACTCAGGAAGTTGAGATCTGAGGATTGCAGTTTGAAGCCAGTCAGGGCAAGAAAGTCTATGAGACTCTTAACTAACCACCAAAAAAAGCAGCAATTGTGGCTCAGTGGTAGAATACTAGCTTTAAGGAAAAAAAAAGCTTGGGGTCAGTGTCCAGGCCCTGAGTTCAAGCTCATGAAACAAAGAATCCATGGTTTTAAAGAAAAATAGGGTATTTTAAAATTAATTACTTTGTTCTTCCCTCCTTCATTTTCCCTTCCATGTTATTCCATTCGTGTACTAAATTAGGAGAGCTCAGACTCAGCTAAATATCTTGCTTAATCTAATTTCATTGATTTGGAATGCATTCATATGCAAAATTTCCAAGGTCTTATGCCACCCTATCATTGCCAATATTGACTGACCACTTAATATAGTTCTTGTGCTTTACATCATTGTTATATTTAATTCTCATGAGGTATAAACTCTTGAGCTAGATGTCATCTTATAAAATAGATATCATCATTCCTGTTTTATAATTGAAGAAACTGAGACTTGGAAAATGTTTGAGCCAAGGTGCATTAATTTTCGTCTTAAATGTCCCCTAAAGGGCTTTCTCCTGCCCTGATTTCTCCCTCTCTTTCTCTCCCTCTCTCCCTCTCTCATTCTCCTTCTCTTTTGGTATTGTTGGAGTTTGAACTCAAGATCTCACAATTGCTAGATCAATACTGTACCACTGACCCAGACATCCAGCCTTTTTTTGAAATTGCTATTTTTGAGAAAGAGTTTTTCTTCCTGCCTGGACATACCTAGTCTACGATTTAGATGGCAGCTATAAAAAAACACAGCTTATCACTTGTATACGTCATTACTCTCAGTACCACTAGATCTCTCTCTAAAAAGCTTTTGATAAGGGAAATGTGTCCAGAGTGTGAAATGGTAGCTGCATCTCAGGACATCAGGAAGAGAGCCTCTGGGATTGGCAGTTCTACCCAGAGACACTGGGTACAACTGCCACTTCTGATGTTCATGTGACATCTTAGGATCATGATCACTGAACGTCCTGTTATACTAAGCTTTTCAAAGGAATTCTATAAAATTGAGAAACGTTCACCAACTTCAGAAAAAAACTAAAAAATACAGGATATTGGTCAGCTTTCTGACTCTAGAATAAAATACTGGAAATGATCAACTTGAGAAAGTGATAATAAAGACAAAGTTCTGTTTGGACTGTCATTTTTGGAGGTTCAAGTCCAAGATCAGCCAACTCATCTTTTGAGCCACTCATGGGTGTGTTAGGTGGCAATGGCAGGAAGTATGCTGTGTTTATCACCAGGAATTCAAAAAGAAAACGTACTCTTAGGGAACACACAAGGACTTCCTGCCAGGCTCACTCTCTAAGATTTCTGCTACGTCTACAGTATCACTGTGGGAATTGAGCCTTTAACACTTGGACCTTGAGTATGGGGGGAAAAAACATTCAACAAACAAATTGTAGCAATGGTTGACGTTAATTAAAATAAGTATGTTATTCATGCTACTTCTTTATTGTTTCCTGCTATAAAAATGAGATACATTTGGATTATGACTCAACTTGACAAATCAATTTTATGAGCTTTTCCTTAAAGTTAGGTCAATTCCAGTCCCCTCATTGTTCAGAAAGGAAATGACACAATGACGTTAACTTGTGAGAAGGCAACAGAAGACTAGAAGTCAGAAGGAACTTTGGGCATTTGCTTTTAATTTCTATCAGAGTATAATTTTTCATTTTAAGTTCTATGGGAATGGAGTCTGACTCACTAATTATCTCTGAATCCTGATACCACAACTAGAAGAGAGAAGAAGGTCAGTCAACTTCGGTGACGAATGTTGAACTTGAAGCCTTCAGAAATACTAGCAATACGTTAGGAACTCTATGGGGCTTTCTTACAGTTAGCATGTATTTTTTCTTACGGAGCAATAGAGTTGAATGTCCTCTCAATGTTTTATATTCTGAGCACAATGTTAGATTTCACACATTTTTTTGTTACTAAATATCTGCCCAGAAAAATGGGGTAAATCAAAGTAAGATAGATTGGAACAGTGTGGAAGAATCAAATAATCCTAACTTCAAAAATATCACCATACTTTTTGCTATTTTTCTCTTTCCTTTTGTTCTGGAATTATTTGTTTTGCCCCAGGAACAAATCATTTTTCATCTGCATTATACTCTCTTTCAAACAAAATAGCTATATAGGATAGATTTATTGGGCCTAAGGACATGTGAGGACAATATACTTAAGGCTAGTGATTAGTGACAGTTATAGCAATGTCTTACATTTTAAATCTAAAATCAAATTATCAATCTTTAGGGTACAAGTTTGTTCCTATGTATTGCAGATATGGGGGAATGTGTTATTTCTTTGTATAGAGTAATTAAAGAAAAATAGTGTATCCTACTCATGGTTATTGATCTAGAGTCATAATAAACTTATCTACTTATTCATTGAAGTTTTTGCCAATCCATTAAGAATTATTGATACTACTCTATTAGATGGCTAAATTACAGAATAAAAAAGGAGCTTTTTTTAATATCATAATTTCTAGTTTATATTATTATAGGCTAATCAATATGTCTATAATAAAAGTATTAAAATATGCACATTTCTGGCAGTAATTCCACTTCAAGGAATATACCAAAGATGTATAAAAAGGAGTATGTGCAAACATTTATATCATAGTCTTATTTAGAGAAGCCCAGAATTGACAATAGCCCACATGTGCTAACATTAGTGAGATTAATACATAGTAAATCCATTGCTATATGGAAAATATTCACCATTTCTTGTCAGGTAACAATGAAAGAAGTTGAGAAGGAGAAAGTAGATGGTTGGTATGATACTGCTTTCATAAGTTCAAAACTGACCGTGTGTGTGTGTGTGTGTGTGTGTGTGTGTGTGTGTGTGTGTAGGTACACATTCAAAACTAAACATTAGAATACTTGGATTTGATACCTGCTGGGCCTGTGGCTTCACACCAGCTCTTTTACTTCAATAATTGCTATGGAAACCAGATTCACAGATGTACTCTGTAACTCTGTCCTCGCTGAGAGGTTTTATTAGTCCTGTGGGTTGTCTGTAGAATTCCCTTCATCTTCTAATGTCTTTGCAGGTTCAGAAGACAAAGGTGTGAGGGGATTCCCTTCTTCATAAGTTGGCCCTTAACTATAAAGAATGGAAACAGGAAAAAAAAATATTGCAGGTGATATGTTCACAACTAGTGTCACTCTGACATAAATACGTCTGACTTGTAATATTCACTAATTACTGTCGTTGTATTGGCTTTCAAATTACTCACCTGATGTTACTGAACATCAGAAAGGTAGTCAGAAAAGGGTGCAATCGACTGTGCCAAGCTGGGCCACAGAGCTCCAACACCCAGCTGATTTCCTCCATGTCTTAAAAAAAAATCATCTGAAATAGATTCCACACATTCTGCTCTGGGGGGGGCCCAGTCATATCGTAGTCTCATTGCTCTGAGAGGTGAGCAGCTGGATAAGACTTTGGTCAAATGGCCTTTCCTCGCTTTCCTGCTGCCCTTTCTCTGTCTGTCCATTCTCACTTCCCAGAAGAAACAGCTGCAATTAAGCAACTAAGGCTTCAGCAGTTTCTTAGAAAACTCAAGGAAGACAAGTTTCATGGAGCAGAACCACTCTGGGTAATTTGGACTTTTTAAAGTTCTTCAGTTCTTGCATTATATATGTCACTTAATGTAATTAAAAGGAAATAAGCAACATTTAAAGTTGTGGTAAACTGGGAATAGGATATATGTCTATAGTCCCAGCTATTTGTGAGGTAGAGGAAAGATCACTCAAGCCCAGAAATTTAGGGCCAACCCGGGCAATACATTTTACTTTATAAAATAAAATAAAATAACATTATGAGTGAATTCCATATATTATAGTAGAGTCCCTTGAAAATTAAAAAAAAGACACTGTATGATTTAGGAAAAAGGAACTGATTCTTGGGACACACATTTGTTGTTCTACATATCTGTAGTTCTATGATTCCTTATTCCTTATTGTTTATGAGACTGGAGAAGAAGGAAGTACGGATGAAAACAGGGAAGCGAGGATTAAAGGGAAATACAAATTTGTCCTATTTTATTTTAATTGCTGTTGTTTGATCGTTTTTGCCTTTAGCCTTGCCAAGGGTTGCATAAAGATATCCAGTAGAGGATAATGAAAACAATAGCTACAGATGACAAGGCTGATTCACCAAGTTTATGAGCAAAAAGGAATTTTAGCATATCATTCATAGTCACACACTCAGTTACTATACGTAACTGAGTTTTTAAAATTTGTCAGCTAACGAAGAGATAATATTATCATCACTATCTTTAGGAAATATTTTATTCTGCAAAAGCTGCTATACAGAGAAAAAGCTTCCAACTAGAATTTAGTTAAGTACTGAACTACAAATATGTAGAAATTTAAAATGGTCCAGAAAGGGAAAGGGGTGTAACTCGCTGGCAGAGCACTTGCCTAGCAAGCGTGAGGCCCTGGGTTCCATTCCCAGGACCACAAAAATAAATAAATAAAATTAAAGAAGAAATGGTCCAGGCAAATGTAATAAAGTAAATATTTATTCACAATATTTTCAAAATAACATATAAAAAGTTAACTCCAGGGTGGGGTCATAGTTCAAGTGGTTAGAGTGCTTGCTAGGCAAACAAAAGGCCCTGGCACCATCAAAGATAAATCATTTTTTAAAAAGAGTTAACTTTAATAAGCAATGTATGGA